GAAGGACTTGTATACATGTGTATAAGCCAAACCACTGGACATGTACAACAGGGGGATGGCAGCATGAGTGTGCGGGGCGGGGGGGGGGGGGGAGGTTGGGGGTTAATGGGGGGGATGAGGACACATTTGTAATACCTTAACTAATAAAAATAAATAAATAAATAAAATAAAAGGCATCTTAATTTACATGTTATTGCCTCCTACTGGCCAAACACCTGAACAGCCGTAGGCTAATTCCTCCATTCTGACAATGGACTCTGCACCAAACCCTGACCCTTTGAAGTGTATATCTCTGCCTTGCCTCAGGACAAGTTGTGTTAATAAAAAGCATGGGGTCCTGGGGACGACAAGAAAACTTAAGGCCTTATACTTAAGATCTTGGATCTTAGCTCCTTTAGCTAAGCTCCTCTGACCCCCAATGCCTTTCAAAACTATATTTCATCTCTAGCTTCTTTATTAGTCTCTGGATTCCCATTTAAAGTCTACACACAGCCCCTTCTCCAGATTCCCGAACCCTTCTTGATGCTGGGACAAGAACCCCATCCATGTGAGTTGAACTGTTTCTGGTTATATTTTTTCCATTGATTTTTAGAGAGAGTGGAAGGGAGGGAGAGAAGGAGAGAGAGAGAGAAACATCGATGTGAGACAGATGCATCATTTGGTTGTCACTGTGGGGGCCTCGGGTTGGGGATCAAAACTGCACCCCTGCTATGTACCCTTGATCAGGAATTGAACCCATGACCTTTTGGTTGGTGAACAAATGCTCTAACCACTTGGAAACACTGGCCATGGCTGATCCCCTTTCTTATCCTGACAGAAAAAAACACATTCATCCAATCAATGTCCACACACCATGCACCTGAGGCAGTGCTAATTTGCTACCACATCTGGCGCAGTGGCTGCAGTTGTACCTATACTTGGTTTGACTTTGTGGTAATCAGCTGTTATTCTTGGGCACTTACTTGGTTTCTGCAGGGGCTAGTCTGATAAGTGAAATGCACATATGACAGAGATCGTTATTTTTATGTCCCTTAGATCCTTAAGGATTACTCTACTTTTCAAGCCCTGCTGCCCATCTCCACCCTGGTGAGTCAATGAAAAGTGGGGCAGAGTTCCCTAAAGACATAGTACTGACAAGATAAAAATTGGAGTTCAGGTTGGATAAGAGAAAAGGCTAGTAAATATCCCAAGCTCTTGGAGGGCTAAACTCAAGAAGTGAGAGACCAGAGGTGGACAGAGCCTCGACATTCTGTAATTCCGTCTCAAGTCACTTTCATCCCTGATAGAATTAGGATGATCTTATTTCGCTCTGCCTATCAAAAGACAGGGTGACGCCTTCCTGGAGGAAAACAACAAAATCCAGATGATAAAGTAGGGGATAAAGTTTCCCCCAGAAAGTCAACTGCCACTTTTTCATGTGAAATCCAAGATGATGCTAAAGCCAGGCTGGCTGAGCTCCTGAGTATACATAACATTTGTATTTTACTACCAAGGCGTTTTTTGGATTCTTCTTTTGTTAGTCAACGAGTTTATCACCAGATTAATAATGGCTGCCTTTGTTTAGAAGGGGTGCACTGGTGGCTGTATCCAGCAGGTGGCGATGTTGTACCAGAAAAATGGCCTCTGAGTGCCTGGGGGTTTTTCAGTCTTTAACTGAAGCTGGGATTTCCCTTTCTACTTTTGGGATTTTATGTTATACTAGAGGCCTGGTGCATGAGTTCGTGGACATTGAAAGGAAATTAATTAGAAGAAATATTTTAGAGGCTGGGGAGGGACCATGGGAGGTTGGCTCCAGGGTGTGTCTGGCCTGTCTTGCCCAGTCCTGGTCAGCCAGACCCTAGCAGCAACCTAACCTACCAGTCAGAGCATCTGCACCCTGGTGGTCAGTGTACATCATAGCGACTGGTCCAGCAGTTGACCAAATGGTTGACTGAACAGTCAGACACTTAACATATTAGGCTTTTATATATATAGTTCAGAGATGGCAGCAAAATGGTTTGGGGACAATCTACATGTTCCACATGAAGTGGTTCCTGAATAGGAGAATCCCCTCTGGCACTTATGAGATAAGAAATGCAGGCATAGAACACATAATTCGACAGTAGTACATTGAGCCCATCCAGAGGACCCCATCCACAAGGTCACTCCAGCTTTTTTTTCCCCCTATGTCAACTCTTGCCTAAACCCCATCAACTGAATTAGGGGCATTTCCTCCTTTAGGAGCACAATGCAAATCATATATTCTTTCAAGGAGCCCAGGGAAATTTGAGTGATGGAGATAGGCTAGCTAAAATGAGGAAGTAGATTAGAGAAAACTTAATTGTCAGTTTCTTTCCTGCCCTTGTCTTCCTATTCCAGGCTCAGCACCTAAGCATAGTGCTAGTTCCTCTCCCAGGTACCTCTCCGTTTCTAGTGACCATCCAAGTCCAGGGGCCTCCCCAACCCCCACCCTGCCTCAGCTCCATCTCTCAGTTCTTGGTGTCTTTGACCATGTCTGCGGCCAGAATCTTTTGCTCTCATGGAACAGAGTAGGATGGTGATTTGGGCATCTGAATTTAACTGGGCCAAGTTTGATTCCTTCCCTCCCATGTTCACACAAGTATATATAGCGTTTGGACCCCTTGGGGACAGGGATATCTCAGCTCCATCTCTAATTATCTTTCTTCAAAAGCAGCTGACATTTTGGTAACGGGGAAAGGAGGAATCAGGGGATGGGTGAGGAAGGAGACAAGAGTAGTTGACTACATGCTTCTATTTTTGTTTTGAGTGGCTGGGGTGCTTTGGGTTCAACCAAATGAACTTTTAGGTTTTAGTTCACCCAAAACTAATCAATAGTTACTGCCATCAACTAGCAAGATCAGTTGGTGAATACGTGGAGGTGTTAGGAGAGTGGTACCCCTGGAGAGGGCATGGAAGCTCCATGCTCCTTCTCGTATACCTTGCCCTGGTGACACCGCAAGTCTCAGGCTCCCAAATACCTGCACCATGCAATTGAGACAGGGCCCCATTCCCTGTTCACAGATTCTTGTATCTTTTTTTTGCAGTGGGAGCTAGTGACAGAGTTCAGAAGTTTGGTAGAAGATATAAAGGGATTGGAGAGCTCTGGGGGCTGGCAAACAAGAGACAAGGTTGGCTCCTGCTACATAAGAAGGAATTGGATGTGTATCTAAATGAGGCCTTGGCTTTGAAACAGGTAACAGCCTGGAGGGAAGTTGATGGGCTTCTTGGTTTTCTTTTTTCTCATCCCTTTGGCCTGTCACACCAAGACATATTCAAATCTTCCTCTTCTTCCCCCCCTCTCCTCGCGCCCCCCCCCCCCCCCCCCCGTAATGAGGCCATGAGGCCATGAGGCCTTCTTCTTGGTTTGGGTCAAATCTTCCTCTTCTTTCCCTCATGGGGACACCAGTAATTGGATTTAAGGCCCACCAGAAATCCAAATGATCTCACCTAGAGATCCTTAACGTAATTACATCAGCAAAGACTTTATCTCCAAAAAGTCAAATTCACACTTACACATACTAGCAGCTAGAACTTGGACATATGTTTTTAGGGGACACAAAGAAGGAAATGAAAGAAACAAAGTATCAATGAGAAAAAGAGGACCACATTTAATGCTTTTGTGAGCTCATCTGGAATTCCCATGTAGAAAATAAGCAAAGACAGAAAAGAGGTGGGCAGTATGAAAGATCAAAAGGAAACAGGAAAAAACTTGTTTTTTCCTATCTGTGTGGAATTTTAGCCTGATCTTTTACTTGATACTTCTCTGTGTCAAGAAGTACCTGGTGGTAGGATTTGTTTATAGCACAATTAACTTTCAGACATAGTATGAGTGTGCAGATGACTTGCAGTTAGTAATCTGCTAAAGTTGTGACATACACTTTATGAGAAAAACTGTATTATAACCTCACTGAAAATAATTTATGATTGTATACATGTTCATGTATTTTGTGTGTATATGCCTGTGTGTGCTGGTTACCTAGCAACACCACTTTCTTAAAAAGCTAGGAACTATTTTTTCCCAGAATCCCTGTGTTCTATGGGTTAGCATCTGTCCATGAGAAAAACTCATGAGAAACTTGGAAGGTTAAAATGAAGTGGTAGGCACTGTTTCTTGGACAATCATGGAGGTCAGACAGTACTGTGTAATGTCTTCACAAGCTCCCTCTTAGAGGTTGCATCTGATGTAACAATTTTGCAACCTCTCTGGAAGTTGCGACTCTATCATCATGGTGACAAGAGGTGAGACCATCTCTTCTCTCCCCGTCCCAATGCTTTGGCTGACACCCTCCTCCTGCAGCCTTACAGATCTCTTCCCCTGCTCCTCCCACATTCATTTAACTCCTCATTCCTAATTAAATACCTTATTCTTCTAATATTCATAGTGGCTTTATTTTCCTGACAGAATATGAACTAATACCATAACTATAAACTATACATATGCTAGATCATCCAAGACAGTCCTAATTTCATGATAAATCCCATAATATCCTGAAGAATATCATGCATTTCAACAGGATGAATATATTCAAAATCCAAAAAAAGTGACAATATCAAGAGCTGGTAAAGATGTGAATCAATATGAACTCTCCTCCATTACTGGTGGGAGGGCAAAATGGTACAGCCACGTTGGAAGACAGCTCAGCAGATGCTTACGAAGTTAAACAGATTTTACCATACAGCCCAGTGATCACCCTCTTTGGTATTTACCCATTTGAATTGAAACATATGTTCACACAAAAAATTGTACACAAATGCTTATAGCAGCTTTATTTATAATCACCTCAAACTGGAAGCATCTGAGAGATTTAACAAAAGGTGAATGAATAAACAAATTGCAGTATACACATATCTTATATAATAAAGAGGGAATATGCAAATTGACCAGCACCCTGCCACAAAAGAGGGCTGTCTTAGATCCTGCCTTCAAGCAATTGAACTTAGGGCAGAGATATGGGAGGTGAAAAAAACCACAATGGTTATACTAGTTCTAGTCTCACAAACCGTCTGAATTCTCACTGTTCTCCCTCCTCAACACACCCCATTTCTACTTCCTGCTGAGTTACGCATAATTTTTCATACCATGTTCCATAATTTTGTTTAATATTATGGAGGATGGATTCCATAATGGAGCCAAACTCAATGATACTGGAATATTCACGCGTGTAGAGATTACGAAAGCCAGCAGTATGCATGGCCACCAATGAACCATTTGAATCAAACACTGGTGAGCCAGAAGACCCAAAGTAAAAACTGGTGTCATAGGTAACCACATCAGGTCTGGGACCAATTTCCTGGAAACTTCTTTGAGTGTACATATAGACATACTCTATGTTGTCATCATTACCCCCAGCCTGAAGATGTTCCCAAAATTTCTGTACTCGCAGACCCTGAGGGATTACAACACAACCATCAGTAGACTTTACCTCCCATCCTGGATAGCCAATAATATATATCAACCCACTAGATGGAGCAGGACCAATTCCGTTATATAGTCCGACAGGTACTTGTTGTCCATCGTCCTTCAGTTTCAGAACAGCATAATCAAGATGTACATCAGATATCTCAAACCAAGGTTCAACGGAAAAATACTCATTTTTTTCTTGTCTATCTTCGTAACCAAATGTCACCTTTACACATTGACCAATTATGCCTGCCCACTTACTTGGCTCTATTCCATTTCCCACAATGTCACTTATTACATGCTGACAAGTAAAAATGTACAACTCTGTAAAAACAAAGCAGGTGGCACAACCCGTATTCCCATTGTTGTCCCATTCTATGTGCCCAACTGAAGCACTATGACGAGAAAGAATTTTGAGTGTTTTAACCGGGATAGAGTTTTTTGCCTGTTTCCCAAAGTTCGTTTTATGAGCCTCAAATATTTCTTTCCCCGTTCTTATTTTCAATTCCCTTTTGAAGCTTTCTCTAATTTTTTCAGTTTCTCTTTTCAAACTAGGGCACTGGGCCACAATTTCTTCTTTTAACAGACAGGTGTTTCTTTCCTCCAACTCCAAATTCTGAAAGTCTGCCGAATCAAAATTCTGAGTGGTTGCCGAATCACAATTCTGAGTGGCTGCTACCTTAGAGCCCCCCTTTTTCTCAACCTCAACCTGAAAGAGCTTGCCCTCTAAGTCATCAACTCGCTGTGTGCTTTCTACAATGGAGTCCAGGTTTTCAATGAGTCTCCAATCAGCAGTCTCCAGAAAGGGGAGAAATCTGCTGTCCTTGCACACAGCATCCTTGACGGTTTCTCCTTTGAAAGCATAGACGCAGAGTTTGCACCCTTCTTTGTGAAGTTCCCCGCATTTGACAATCGTTTTTCTCTTCTTCCCAATTGCATGGATAAAAAATTTGACACAGTCAACAGATGCCTTGTCATACCGGCCAAATATCTGGTTCCCTTCTTTCTGCTTACGTTTACTCTGGGCAAATGTAATTTCCAGGTGGCAGTTTTCAGGAAAACAACTGAGGGGCATTCCAAGGTTTATGTAGCCTTCAATTCCTTCTATGCCCTTAACCAGCATTTCTTTGCCTTGCTGTCGTTCTCTCTCTTCTTTGACAGCCTGAAGAGTGTCAAGTGCCACGGATAAGCTAGCCCTCTCACTATGCGTGAGCCTGTGTTTCCTTTTTTTGTTTTTCCTGTGGTGTACTCCCAAGGTAATGTAAAGTACTTTATCTCGGGATATAGCCTGGTCTTTGGGTCCTTGAGCCTGAGTATTAGTTATATCACTTGGGCCTTTTCTGGAGCCCGTCTTCATTTGAGGAATACTGGGATTATTCTCTTGTTCTTTATGGACCTAAAAGGAAATGTTAAAGACTGTAAAATGATGGAAGCAACTCTTAATTTTGTCTTTCTTTTTAGTATGCAACTCACAAAATTTCTCTAGGAAACTCAGAACCAAAGGACGGTAAAAAGAATTAAACTGAAATTTGAGTTGGGAGCCAAAATATAAGCTGAGCTTCCCATCCCATCAGTTAGGTAAGCTTTTAATTGTGCCAGATTGGTGCATTTTCCCCCTGAGAAATAGGAAAGAAACAACTGTTTCTAGGTCCATCAAAAACAGAAGAGATGCTTAAAAGTCTGCCAGCTCTCTTACAGAGTTCTATCAGGTCTCTGAATAATTTTTACTTTTTCTAATCACAGTGATGGGTTGCACCAAAACTTTGTTCTTATCGCACCAAACTCAGCAAGAATAAGGTACTATGGCTTATTACTGGGCATTTAATGTTAAACAAAACCATCATCAGTTAACAATTTGGTCAAAATAACATAGTTATTTCTAATAGTAAAACCCTGATTCACCTAGCATCTTTCATGTAAAGAACTTAAATTATTTCCTCTATTACATCAATTTATTCCAAAATCTTATGAAACGAAGAGCAACAAATATGGCATCTCTGTCCTTTTGATGGAGAAACTGAGGCACTGAAAGTTTTTCCTGTAAGTGCCTTTCTTAGGATTACATAATAACCAATTAATAAAGACAGTATCAGAACTCCAATATTTAGTACAATATTTTTATGTTAGACTACATATTCTTTTCCTGTAAATTTTATATCCGCAATTCCTGTTTTTATATGTCATTGTCTTAAAAACCAGGGATGAGGGAGGAGAGAGGAATTACATAAGGAGGATTAATCAAATAGCAGAAATTCAATAACAATTTAAGAGCATCTGATCCTATGTCTAAAAGATACATATTGGTCAAGAAATATTTATCATGGCATGAGTGGCAACAGATGCCACTTGCTGGTAATGGGAATAACAATTCCAGGATTGTTGCAAAGATTAAGTGTAACATCCTGTGTGACAATCCCTAGCACAGTGACTGGCACATTAGGGAATTAACTTTTATTTTCCTTCTTTGTAAAGGTACTAATATTCTGGATTAAAACGAAACATAAGGTAATATAAATTTATTCTGGGCATAAATATGAACTCTGAAAGAGCATCCCTCCAGCCTAATGCTGTCAGAAGCATCTTTGTTGCACAGCCCATTGGAACACTAGGATGGATTTCCAACTATTCAAAGAATTCTTGGGCAGATATAAACAGTTTCAAAGAGGAACCTTGGATCTTACATGATTATTAGCTTGCACTGTCATGGAGTGGGACAGAGAAAAATAGAACTAGGCTTGGCTTGGCTTTTCTACATACTTGGATGTTCTAGTTAGAATCAGAATGAAAGAAAGGCTTTTAAGTTGCATTCTCAAATGCTCACCATTTCTCAGTCTTTCGTAATAAATTCAAGGAGCATTTTATTTTATTTTTTTTAAATATATTTTATTGATTTTTTACAGAGAGGAAGGGAGAGAGATAGAGAGTTAGAAAGATCGATGAGAGAGAAACATCGATTAGCTGCCTCCTGCACATCTCCTACTGGGGATGTGCCCGCAACCCAGGTACATGCCCTTGACCGGAATCGAACCTGGGACCCTTCAGTCCGCAGGCCGACGCTCTATCCACTGAGCCAAACCAGTTTCGGCTCAAGGAACATTTTAGACTCAAGAAGGAATACGATGGTTTGCTAATAACAGAGTTCAATTAGTACAAAGGGCCCCCACTTAATGTCAGTAAATTTGAGTCCAAGTATTCATTCCACTACTGCCTTAAGAAGCAACGCACTTCTTTTCCTCTCTTCATAAATAAATCAAGGATAAGAAAGTCCTCCCTGCTTGCTTATAGTAAGACGAAATATTTAAAAAATATTTTATAAATTATAAAGCCCTATGCAGATGTATTATTGTTATCAAAAAGATCAGCCATATTTGCATGGTATATATTCTCAAGCTATGAAATAACATTAATTTTGTTTTTATTCCATATTTTACTGTAATACATTATATTTGATTTTTGTTGTTGTTCAGGAAATGTTACAATAGCTTTTTGTTAAAGACTGCTTTGATAGGGCACCAAACTCAGCAAGAATAAGATTTTTGTTAAAATTCCTCACTGCCACCCCTCCAAACGGAAAGAATACAATGAATGAGAAAGATTTTAACTTATTTAACATTCCCTACATTCAATGAGGTAATGTCTTGGCAGGAAGACTATAAACCCAGTGTCAAGGATGGCTAAGTATAATATTGATATATTCTATAAATAGTATTTACAGACATACCTGAGGAAAATAGTCCTCAATTTTCATATTATTCCTTGCATTGAATGAGACTTTCTGTGACCTGCGTTTCTTAGAGCTCATGATGGCTTGAAGATGAATAGGCAGTTCAGCTGAAACACTACAAAGGTTCAAGTTAGAGCAGTATCATTATAGCAACCATTATTTGTACAGAGGATAGGATTAACAGGGACCTTTCCCTGTAGCTCCAGCTTCCCCCTTCTCAGAGATGTTGACTTACCAAGTAGACAGTTTATCCACCAACTATAATCACCCCAATCATAAAAGCTTTCCTTGATAGAGAACAATCCTGAACACTTTACAAAAATTATCTCTAATTGCCAGTGTCCACAGATACCATGCCAAGTAGGTACAGCTGCTTTTGCAAATGAGTAAAGTACAACTCAGACAAGATAGGTGACCTCCTCAAGGCCAAGCTACATGGCAGAGATAAAATTCAAAAGCAGATACACTAGAGAAGGAATTGCAGTTGGAGAATTCAAAAGTGTGTTCTAGCTATGCTGATGTTAAAATCTGGCCTCCACTTAAATTGCATATGGCACAAGGGGATGGTGTAATTTCAGGAAAATGATGGGGAAAGAACCATAAAGACAAAATAGATGTACAGTGAGAGTTTGCCTGGAGAGTTAGGAATGTTAGTTGCTGCTTTACTTTGTTTGTTTAAAGAGGTATTTCCCCCTCTCTGTTTCCTCTGATGTCTCCCCAGAGGAGAATGAACAATGTAAATAAAAGAGTGAAATCTTTAATCATGATAAATACCACTAGAATGGAAGCCATGGAAGGGCAGCAGCTGCCTGTCTTCATCTAACACAATGCCTGTCACATGGCAATCCCTCAGTAAAGATACATTTATAAAGATACAATGAATGTGTTGGGCCCTAAGACCCCCGGAGAGTCCAGCAGAGGAGGCGACGACCCCAAGTCAAACGCAGAGACCGAGGCTTGATGCAAGAGCAAGAGGATTTTTATTACAAGCGCAGCGCAGGGGCTCTCAGGCAGGCAGGCAACAACACAAAGGAAGTGCTGCTGACTGGAGCCCCGAGCAATTGCAGAACACGGGTTTATAAAGGCAAAAACCACACGCAGGTGGCCGGAAAACAGGGAACTGGGTTACCAGTTAACTCATAACTCATCTTTTACAGGGACAGGTCTTTGTTATTAGTTGACTCATTTCCTAAGGGGCCAGGGTGGTCTGCTATGCGCAGGCCGATCCCGAGGAGTGATAAGATAACTATGCTATGACCAGATCAGGGCGCCAGAGCTTTACGGGAAAGGTCAGGAGGGGGAAGTTCTCTTTAATCTTTACATTAACCAGAGCTTACTGGAAAAGCTGGTCCAGGGGGAAGGGGGGGGGTTTTCAGCGGCCTTACATTCCCCCCTTTTCTTGTGGGAAGTTCCAATCATGGAACTACAGGCTAATGTTTGAGGGTACAGGCTGATACCGCTGTTGAAGGACCATTACCTGAACTGCACTAATCCGGTCCTGGATGAAGGCGATTAAGCGGTTTACTATGCATGGCCCGAATGTCAAAAGGAGGAGTAAAATGATCAGGGGTCCCACGAGAGAGGATATCAGGGTTGTGAACCACGGTGAGCTGTTAAACCAACTTTCAAACCAGCCTTGCTTGGCCTCTCGCTCTCTTTTGCGAGTTTCTAATCTCTCCCTAAGTTTTGACATGGAATCCTTTATCACCCCTGAATGATCAGCGTAGAAACAGCATTGTTCCCTGAGAGCTGCACACAGCCCTCCCTCCTTTAAGAATAGGAGATCTAGTCCTCTCCTATTTTGTAGGACTACTTCAGACAAAGAGGTTAGAGACTCCTCAAGTTTAGTTATGGAGTGCTCTATATGTTTGAGGTCTTCATCTATAGCAGCTCTGAGCTCCTCAGTATAGGTGGGGCCTTTAATGAGGGCTGTTGTCCCTGTTCCTACTCCTGCCGCGACCCCTAGACCTAGGAGAGCAGCCAAGGTCAGTGAAACAAGTTCCCGTTTATCCCGATGGGAAGGAGAATAGGAGTCAAATTCTTTTTCAAATGCATTAGCTTGATAATACATGATCCTGGGGACTAGTTGGACAAGGATACAATAATCTTGAGAACGGTTAAAGGCCTGGGCTGCTAAACATGGAGTAAGTCCCGTACTACAGGCCCACCATCCCCCTGTTGGGGGCACTAAGTAATAGCTTGCAGAGGAGGGATATGCCAGGTTCTCCTTGCAGAGATGCTGGCGGTCCTTTGGCACCTGTCCTATACATGTGCCTTGCCCTGAGACCTCAGTAAGGGTCAACTTCCCCTGCTGTCCCCACGAACAGTGGTCATGGCTGGTGGTGTTGGTATAGTTTCCCTGGAAGGCTATGCCCTCATAGTAGGGGGGCCCTGTAGTTAGGCAGAGCCAGCAAGACTCAGTTAGGTTAGACTTGGACATGTTTAAAGAACTAAAGGCCCCCTCTACCAAGCCTAATAGCCTCTGACCTGAGTTTGTCTCTAGTTCTATGGGGTTGGCCTGTTCCTCCCTGGAGGCTGGGCTAGTTCCTGCCACGGTGGTGGTGGCAAGAGGCCTTTCTTTCGTGGGGAGCTGCCGGCTGGACAAGACGGTGTTGGGTCCTACTGCAACTGGTGGCCTGTAATCCTGTACATCTAATCTTATCTTAAAAAGGAGGCCATCATCATGTTGGTCCTTATACAGCCGGATCCCCCATGTCACTCCCCAGCGCCACTTGTTTAGGTCGTATGACCGCCCAGCTGAGGTGAAGGAGATATTCAGGGCGTTAACCCAACCCCTATGTCCGGAGGTTTGGCTCTCATTTCTCCGAACCTGGATGAGGTCCCACTCGGGGGGCCCTCTGATCCAATATCCAGTACCAGTTGTCTCACATCCCCATTCTGCACAGAAATACTCTCGTTCAGATCCACAATTCTTTCTATGTCCCTGCCTGTCTTTGGGGCACACATAGAATTGGGTCATCGTAAGACGCTCACGGGCCCCCAGATAACTACAGTGAACTCCAAATTGCAAATCTCTTCCTTTTCCTATGTAAGCTCGGGTCTCTATACCTGCTTTAGTCTCTTCTACTGTTCTCTCAGGGAGGTCCCATAGTCTGTATCCTGCTGCCATAGCGCAGAGGTCTGGCGTTAAGTCTGGCCACCATGTCCCTTTAGGTGCTATATTGGTGACCGACCAGGCCGTCTGTCCGGTGTGGGGGGACATTACCCTCCAAGTTAGTCTCTTTGGGGCATGGGGGTTGCTACTTATCAGCGGCAGGCTCAGCAGGAAGAGGGCGGCGGCAAATCCGTAGCTTGAGAGGGTTGTCTGTCTTCTCCACAGTCCATCCATGATCGGTGTCGTCTGATGGGGGTGCCCGCTTGACGTGGGAGGCGTGGATCCAAGCAGCTACACCGTCTACCTTGACCGCTGTTGGGGTTGTCAGCAATACCAGGTGGGGTCCCTTCCACCTCGGCTCGAGATTAGCGGCCCGATGGCGTCTGATGTACACAAAGTCTCCGACCTGGAACTGGTGGGGGACTTGCAGTTCTCCTGGTTGGTAGAGGGCGGCCAGGGGAGTCCACACCTCCTTCTGGACAGTCTCGAGGGCCTTCAGCCTGGCAAGCAGGGATTGAGGGGTGTGAGTGTCTGTGGGCACGGACCAAGGGTCAGCGGCTAGGGGCGGAGGGGCCCCAAACAAAACCTCGAACGGTGTCACCCCCAAGGGGCCTGGGGTGTTTCGCGCGCGGAAAAGGGCAAAGGGAAGGAGGACCGTCCAGTCTGCCACGCCAGTCTCTAAGGACAATTTAGTCATAGCCTCTTTTAATGTTCTATTCATTCTTTCTACCTGACCTGAACTCTGGGGCCTGTAAGCACAATGCAATTTCCAATCCGCCCCTAGTATCTTGGCCATTCCCTGACTTACCTGGGCAACAAAAGCTGGACCGTTGTCTGATCCAATTACCTTAGGAGTTCCAAACCGTGGAAAGATGTCTTCTAAGATCTTCTTGGCGACCACAGTTGCAGTTTCTCTTTTGGTAGGGAAGGCTTCTACCCAACCTGAGAAGGTATCTATGAAAACTAAAAGATATTTATAACCGTATCGGGCGGGCTTCACTTCTGTAAAATCCACCTCCCAGTAACTCCCGGGCCGGTCTCCCCTGAGCCTGTGTCCGGTCCCGACCTGGGATGAATGTACATTTACCAGCTGACACGCCTTGCATTGCTTAACTACTTCTTCTGAAAGGCGATCGAGTCCTTTGACATAGTGTCCCGTTGCCCGGCTGGTGGAGCTGAGGTGTTTGGCCCCCAGGTGGGTAAGGCGATGCAGTTGTTGGAGGTAGGCAGTGGCTGCCGCCCTTGGTACTACCATTTTTTCCCCTGCAGTTCTCCACACTCCTAGTTTGTCCTTATGGTATTTTTCTGGCCTTTTAAGCAGGTCTTTTTCCTCCTCTAGGGTGTAGTGGAGGGTCTCTGGCTGTGGTGCTGCGGGGCCAACAGCGAGGGCGAGTAGCCGGGGCCCTAGAGCGGCCTGCCTTGCCTCGGCATCCGCTTTCCTGTTTCCTATAGCTGTTTCCGAGGTCCCTTTCTGGTGGCCGGGACAATGGATGATAGCTACCTCCTGGGGGGCATGAATGGCTTCTAGGAGGTCGAGGATTTCCTTTTTATTTTTAATTTCCTTTCCTGCTGAGGTGAGGAGACCTCTCTGACGGTATATAGCCCCGTGCACATGAGCAGTGGCAAAAGCATAACGACTGTCAGTATAAATATTAGCCCGGCTGTTCTCTGCCAGCCTGAGAGCCTGTGTCAGAGCAATTAATTCAGCCTTCTGGGCCGAAGTCCCTTCGGGCAAGCTACTAGCCCAGATAGTCCGGTCCTTGCTGACCACAGCCGCTCCCGCCACCCTCTTACCTTCATAGAGGTAGCTGCTTCCATCCGTGTACCAGGTGAGTTGAGGTTCTGGCAAGGGGGAATCTTTGAGGTCTCTCCTCGGCCCTGTTTCCTCTGCCAGAATGTCACGGCATGAGTGTAGGACTTCTTTGCTCTCAGGATTTACTTCCGGTAGTAAGGTTGCTGGGTTGAGAGCTACCGGAGCCCCGAAGCGGATTCGATCTTCA